ATGTCACTTGCCATAGTGAGAGTTCTGAGTTTAATGCTAAAATCTGAATGCCTTAATTACATTGTTGTGATCTTATACTGGAGTCCACTTGTTTAAAACCTGGGGGGACTGTAATTCTAAGTAAAGACTAAGGCAGCCCTTCGCAGCATGACAGACTCTATAAGAGTCCATGGTGGTCTGTAAAAGCCTAAATACCTTGGGAAGGGAAATGGTAGGCGGTCTGAATGAGCTGAAAAGAAAAACAAATTTTGAAATGAGGAAACTTAGGAAGACTGTCCAATGAGGTAGTAATACCCATGAGTGTTTAGGTTTGGCAAACCAGTAGAGAGAGTCCTTAGGGCCTGGTGAGGAAATATTAAAAAAAATGAATAAACTACCATAAGTTGCTGAGCTACTGTGAGAAATCACTATAGATAATGAGTGGAAATATGCTCTGGGTAAAATTTCCTAAGTTGCTGAGCCACTATAAATTGAGTGGAAATATGCTCTGGATGAAATGCCCTAAGTTGCTGAGCCACTAAGAATAAATAACTGAGTGGAAATATGTTCTGGGTAGGGGCCTGAGCGGGAAAGATCCAGAAGAAAAACTATATGGACAAGGAGAAAAAGGGTTGAGGGAGAATAAAGTGCAGCCATTGTTGCTACAGAATCTGTAAGGAAGTCTTTAGAATCTATAAACATCAATAAGAATACCCTAATTAATGGCATGCAGGAAATAGGTACTGATCATAATAATGTTCATTTGTTCTTAAATTGATTAAATCTTAGAATGGATAATAGGTAAAACTTGAACTCTGGCTGTGATGTATGCACACACACACTGAAGAACTGTGATGATGCATTCCTGTGATAAACAATGGTGTACAATCTGTACAGTAAGGGACTTGAATCTGAGATTAACATTGATACAATGTTGCATTCACTTCTGTTTATTTAGCCACATTCTTTTTCGATCACTGTCATTACTTTTATCCATGAAAATTCAAAAATATCACTTCTTCACTCTCAGTCAGTCTTTCTATGTCTAGGTCAGTAGGAATGTAGTTTTAATCTGTTTGCTAGAGGATCCGCAAAACTCTGAGCTTGGGTCTGTTGCTTGAGTGCAAACAACACTTCAAGTTTGGGGGTATCTGATGACAGTAGAATATATAACCATTTAGCATGCATTTCTTACTCATTTCTACTTATAATTTAGTGTCAATAAGTTAGAATTAGTTTACTTTTCCGGCGATTTTGTAGTTCAGGTATCTCAGAGGGCCAATGTGGAAAATCAGTAAAAATGAGACCCAAATTGCACAAAAAGGCACCAGAATGGAGTGGAATGGAAGTTGCTGGAGATTGAGCTGTTGGAAGGTCGATCATAGCTAAAACAAGTGGAGAAATCCTTGCTGAGGAAGGAAAAATGGCAGCAGATGATCACAACTTGGAAGAATCTGCAACATCACACTCAATTGAGAGGGAGAAGGGCAGTTGCCCTGCTGCCAGATTGTTGCCGCAGTAGTTGTTGCTGCTGTCAATAAAAAAAGAGCCACGAGCTGAAATCTTGGTGCCCAAGGAAGGAAATTCCTTTGCCATCACTATAAGTTGTTGCTGTTGCAGGTGAAAGAAGAGAAAGAGGGAGAATATGTGATAAACAGCAGCTGCAACTCTGCTACTTACCAACTGATGCTGCTGCTGAGTTGATGGATTGGCTGCTGCAAAAGGGTGACCAATGGCATAGCAAGTGACCCAGGAAACAAGGAAGAAGGGCAAAAGTTTCAAGCTGAATTGGAGGCTGAGACACAATGAAGGAAGGAAGCATGCTGCTGATGCTGCTGCTTGCTACTGCTGCTAGTTGGGCTGCTCAGGATTAAAGAATGAAGGAATAGAGATGTATGGCTGAATAATGGAGAAACTGCACCGGAGAAGAAAAATAAGAAGAAGCAACAGTGATGAGTAGAAGGTGGTTAATTGCGGCTAAAGAGAAAGAGCAACCAAAGAGAAGACTGCAACTTTTCAACCAGGCAAGTTGCAGAATAAACAAATTTCTATTGCTGCAAGTTGCTGCCTCCTTTTTCTACTGCAGAGATGAAGGCTAGAACTCCACCAATCCAAGCCTCTCCAAATCTCTATAAATAGCCAGTCAATAGCAGTTAGAAAAACAATAGATTGGATAGTTAGATTTAGTCCAAAAGATAGTAGTTAGGTAGTAGTTAGTTGGTTAAAAAAAGGATAGTAGCAGGAACAAGGTAGACTGTCACTCTGTCAAGTGGCAAACGCCACTCGCCATAGTGAACAGACAGGAATTGTCCCTGCTACCATCTTCTCTTTCTTTCCTCTAACCTTTTTATTTAGAGTTATGTCTTATCTTTTGTACTTGGTTGCTCTCATGTTTAACTCAATAAGTATGAGTAGCTAACTCAGTTAAGGGTTCAATCCCTACTATCTTTATGTGAAGGTTTTGATTCAGTTTCCTTGATGAGGTGTTGTACTTAGATAAGTGATTTAATTAACCTTTTAATTAACTTGGCCACTTAATTAAATGTGCTTGCATGGTTGTGAAGATCTGGAAGGGGAAGCATAACCTTAGAACTGTTTAATCTAGTCTATGATAATGGAGGAAATCTACCCTACAGTTCCAGACATCAATGGAAGTTTGGTGAATGGCATAGGCGATCATATAGGGCTTTAAGAACTCAATGGCTTAGATTAAAGAACTAGCTAAACCAAGTAGCTTGCTCATCTTAGTAACATAATTCAGCAAAGGTAGAAAAAAAAACGTGGAAAGGAGGCAAGTGGAATGCTGGAATTGTGGCCAAAGAACAAGCTGAATCATAGGGCTTACTAAGAAATTGAAAGGAGGAGCTGTTAGGTCTGTGAAGTGGTGAGTAAGGGGTCTAAGATCTAGACTTATAGGCAAAGAAATCTGGAGCTGAACTAGTATAAATAGAACCGAGCTTCTCATCCCTTACACACCAACAAGAAAAAAAAAACGCAGCAACATAGTGACAAAGAAGAAGAGTGAGGTAGGTTTCTTAGTTTTATATTTAGACAAAAGGAGGAGGAAGGAGAAGCTAGCAGGTGCAGAGGAGAAGCTATTGCAGCAGCAACCGTAAATATATTAGAATTTTGAGTTAAATAATGTTTGTATGAAGTGGTTTCTGTAGATTATGATATTTATACATATATTAATGAATTTAGAATGGTCAGAAATGGAGTAGCAGTGTAGAAAACGACTGAAAGTTAGCAAACCCACAACCGTTGTTCCTGATGGCAGCACAATACCGGTCTGCTAAAATTTACGTAACTCTCTGTAGAAAATTCGGATTTAGAAGCCGTTCGTTGTGTTGTAAACTAGAATCTTAGGGCTTTCCAATGATATGGATTATGCACCCTGAATATTTCTGTAGTGATGATGATTCAGTCACCGAAAACGCTCAGAAATGCCGTTTACTTTTAACCCTAATACGAAAGCTTAGTGTTTTTAGTTTTAAATGTTGAAAATGTTTATAAGTGTTAATTTGGAATTATTACATTCTTCTATAATGACTTAGGTATTATAGAATGAATCTTAGACTTAATAAGGCTTAATTTTATCTTTAGGACTTTATATTGATTAAGGCCAACTAACTAAACACATTAAATTACTAAAACTAGAACTACTAAGATACATGTATATATATAGACACATACAAATATAATACTTACTAAATAAATAATATGAATTATCGACATTATTTAAGTATTTATTTAGTGTCATTCAATACGTGCTGTAGGTAACACTTCCACAGAAGCGATAACTCCAAATAAATAGTACTTGTGAGTAATTCTCACTTTTTCTAAAATTATTTCAAAACTGGGAGTATGGATATATTTGAAAAGACACTACACACGAACACATTGTTTAAAAGTATTTTCGAATATTTTTATTAAGCCCTAAAGGTGTCTTATTCACCTTAGGATGTATTTGTTAAGTGAATTTGTTCTCTAGCTTAATTGCTTGATAAACGTGGAACGCTGTGTGGCTATAAACCATGTTTGCATTTATATGTGCATGCTTGAGGGCCCGAGGCGACTGGTTGAGTAAATGAGTCATGAGCCGGCATAGGGATTGGTCATGTCCGTTGCCAACAGTGATTGTTCAGGATCCTCTTGAGATATCCGGTCGCGACATGGCGTGTTGGGTGGAAATTGAGTTAAATTTGTACCTAGTAAGAAATGTCGCTCCTTCTGACAGCTTATCAGGTTTTTATGGCTTGAATGGAATTAACGGAAATGGCTAGGGTTAGGGTTTAACCACTCTTGCCATATCGGCTTTTGGATAAACTCTTTCTTTAGCTTTTGAATTTGCTTTTATCGATTGCTTATGTGGAATAATATGCTCTTGTCTATTATGTGTTCTTATAACTATATCTTGAAATGTTTGATTATTTCTGTTTCAAATATATACCTCTAATAGTGTAGACCTCACCGAGCTCGGCGCTCACCCCCTTTATTTTTTATAAATATCCCTCCCAGGAGCCGAGTCACGAGGAAAGTAGAGTATGATGGATTATCATACCTAGAGATGCTTATTATAGAGTTGTAACGCTAAGTAGATTATGATGGATTATCATACCTAGAGATGCTTATTATAGAGTTGTAACGCTAGTCTTTAGTTTATAAGGTTGCAATATTGGTAGGGTTATGGTTGTATTACCTACCTTGTTTTTGCGAATAAGGGACCTGTAATATTATACTTATTGGCAGTTGCCAATATCTAATAAATTATTCTCTTTACTCTATGTTACGACTCTTTAATTACTTTAATAGCTTTGACTCATCGATCTCGAATTACTTTGATGAGCGTTCAAAAAAAAAAATTTGATAAGCTGGGGTGGTTATAACTTTAAAATACCACAAAAACGTATGAGATTTCCAAAGAATAACCTGAATCTTGGGCTGCCATTTTAGAAACTAATAAATAATGAAAGAATGCTTTCCACAAGAATTTCACTCACACCACAAAGATGCATATCTGCTCAAGGATTCAAATTTCCTAGTTGTCCAAAGTATCTCCCAGCTATGGTTGCAAGGATATTAAGCATGGCAACCTCTTCATCCACAACCGACTTTTCAGCTCTCAACGAGGCACATTTTCGTAGTAATGATCGAAAGGATGCACAAGTGTCAGCATCAAGAGGAGAATCAACTGCAGCAGACAGAGCAAACAGCCATAAGCAATCATTCCAGGATAAAATACTCGTACTTTCTGCCATTTTTATGCGCTTCCTCAGTGCTGAAACTCGCGCCACAGAATCCATCTGTATAATTGCCGACAGGGTAGGCTGTTCAACAGAAGCTAGTCTTTCAGATGGTTTTGGACCAAAACTCTCTACAGAACCTGAAGGATAGTTATTGACGGCAACAGAAAAACAGTCCGTGATGCCATTGGTTTGAGATATACCGGACAGTGTAGATTGGCAGGAGTCTCCTTCACATGATGTAGAATCAAAATTCTTAAGCAGGGTGATTTCAGAAAGTTTGGAGGAGGAAGTCTGCAACTGCCCTCCAGAAGCTCCATAATTTGATAACTCCATCCTCAAGTCTTCAGACATACTAAGAAATACATCATCCCATTTTTTGAGCGGCATTAATTTCTCCGAACACTTGGCAAAATCTGGTATTTGAGGCATATAATTGGTTTGTACCTTGTTAAATCTACTCTTATCAACCTTGGCAACTTTCACCTGGGGAACCTGTGTAGCTCCATACCTCACACTTCTCAGATATTCTAACCCATCTTCTAGAGGACCAGAATTAAAATTCTGGTTTGCTGAAAACAACAAAAGCAGGTCTCCGAAGATTGCTATACTCTTCATCACTATCATCTTCTATGTACATCTGTTCAATTCAAAATCCGCCATTGAAATCCACAGGGGAGGACTTTTTCCGCTTCTGGGTTTTATACTGATTATGAGATCATCATCAACCAATCCATCATCATATTCTTGCTGCACAACAGGTCCAAGTCCACAATATATTTCAGACCATCTCTTCCTCTGGCAATCTATACCTACGTGCCTTAATCCTTCTAATTCCTTCCTTGAATAAACTTTCTTCTGCCTTTTCCCCTCAAACCCTTCTGAGATTTCAATCTTGCAATCGTTATGGAGAAGATCGAGATTCATTTTCTCTTCCCCATCAGTACTCAAATCATTATTCTTCATTTTCATTATATCTCGTACCTTTCTCCAACCTCAGGAGCAATTCAATGCCGTTTCAATCAACTAGTGTCGCCCCACTTAATCAATAATACTTCTGCAATTCCAGAGACACTAGGACTGCTAATTCTGGCGGTTCGACTTGGTTCGGCCGAGTTTGGTTCGGAAAATTTGGATTTTTTATTTCTATTCACCCAACTAAAATCGAACCGAAGATTATGTATCTCAAACCCAAACCAAACCGAATAAAAATCGAGTTTTCGGTTCGGGGGCTAATTAAATCAAAACTACAAATTTGAATATACACTTTATAGAACAGAAATTCTCAACTCTCAATTCGGTTCGGGGCCATTAACTCGCACAAGTCAGAAGTTGCAGAAAGAGTTCGGGAAAATTTTCTCGCAAAGTAAATAAAACAAATTTTCATCCCTACAACATTCTTACTCAAGACAATATATATAGATCTAAATTCTTACTTTTTGGGGTTTATATAATTTATATAGAAGAAATAAAGGCGGGGGAAGGGGATGGTGACGGGCCGTACCCACGGCAGAGAGAGAAAGGAGGGGAAAGGGGGTGGCGGCGGAGAAAGAAAGGAGGGGGAAGGGGGTGGCAGCGGGCTACGTAAGGAAATGGGGAAAATGGGTTCATGGTAGATCTGAAAAAGGAAGAAGGAGGAGAGGGCGGCGGGGAAAAAAGAAAGGAAGAAGGAGGCGAGGAAAGGAAGGAGGAGGAGAGGAGAAAATGGGGAGTAAAAAAAGGAAAGACTAAACCCTAGTGGACGGAGGGTATATATATCTAATAAAAAAATAATAAAAAATAAATTAATCGGGTAATTCGGGGCTACCCGAATAATATTTTCCAAATCCGAAACTGAACCGTATAGGCTAATTGGTTTATCAGGTATAACCGAAATTCACCCAATTTAACAGATTAGCAGACCCGAATTGGCCGAATGAATCTCAATTCAGGCGATTCGTCGGGTTGGGCCGATTAACTAGCAGCCCTAAGGGACACCCGTTTCGAGACAGAAATTGAAGATTAGGGTTTGCGATTTGGGGGAAAAAGTACTGGTTTCATGAGAACTGTGGAAGCGTCGGATTGCAAGTCTTGCTATATTAGAAACAAAAACCACACTTAAGAGAAAGCACCACCATTTGCCATGTGGCATTTCCACATCATATTTTTAAAATAAATCTTTATTTTCAAATCTCCTAGACTTAAAAGGCAAATGCAATCGCAAATCCTCATCCCCATCTCCACGACAATCGACTCCCTAATCAATCCCTTCTCCAGAATTAAAAAAAAAAAAAAAAATTCCTCATCAATCATCAATTGAGAATATGTGGTGCAATATATTCATTTCCTATTAGCATATTCAATCTTTTCATTAGTGATGATTAACTACATCCTGATCAGATAAAATTTCAACTTCAAAAAATATTCTCTTTACTTTTCTATATAAACACAAAGGAAAAAAGAAAATTATCATTGATCTTGCTTTGGCCGTTGTGGTGGTGCAATTACAGGTATTAAAATTTAAATGATTTTATTTCCACAGATCATTTGTTTGGCTTTTATTATTTTTTGTTTTTCCCGTTCAAGAATAGTGTTATTACTATTATTTTTATGCGTCCATCCGTTACAGCTACCGTAGCCGTTGTCAGGTAATATGATGTGATTTCTTATATAGTTAGTTAGCCTAGAAGTTTTGTATGATTTTAGTGCTGTTGGATTGAATTGATTAATTGAGTTTTTGTTACAAAGTGTGGTTTTTTAAATTTCTTTTTAATGTTTCATTCAATTAGAGTGGTTTTCTTTTTTTAATTATGGAGTCTCAGTTTTTTTTTTCGTATATGGTCAGTTACGAAGTCTGCTTTTTCTTTGTTTAATTATTTTTTATTTTGTTTCATACTCCCAGTTGACCAATTATTATTATTATTATTATTATTATTATTATTATTATTATTATTGTTATTATATTTTATTTGCAAATAAAGCGCGTTTTTTTTTGTGTTCAATCTTTCAAGAATATACTTTTTGAATTTTAGTTTTTGGACTTTTTTTAGTTTCTCATCATCTAAATAGTTCAGGTCGCTTCTTCTAACTAATTTTTGGGGAAGCCTTTTATGAATTTGAGGTGGAGAGGGAAAAAAATGATGTTTCTACGTTTATTTGTATTTTTATACAACATTTTTACCTACAGAAAAAAAAAATTCTCAATTTTAAATGAGCTATCTTTTACTTTCTTTTTTTTTTATTTACCATGGTGAGGTGAGTTCTTTTTTGGTATAACTTGAAACCTATTCAAATTTACATTATTTTCATTCTCATATTTGTGATCAACCAATTTCATCAATTAACCAGTTTCAAAATCATATTTTTGATATTTTATTACTTATAAACTTTTGGAAGAAATAGTTTCAACAATTAAGCGTATACCCTTGGGAGGAAGCTTACTACAAAGCTATTATAAATCTCCAAAACTAAGTATTGATTTGGCACAACCGGAGAACATCAATAAATTATCTTACTAATATTTAAACTTATTAGGATGCTTTTATATTTTGTCTAACATTTAATTCAAGACATATATTTGATCAAGTTTATTTATATTTAAGAAGTAACACTTATAAAACATTTCTAAAACGTACCGGGTCAAATACAATTTCTTTTTATGCCAAATACAAACATTTCTATGATCACCCTTATAAAACATTTCTAAATTTTTCAAACATTTATAAAATATATTGGGCCAAATACAAATTTTTTTTTTCCAAATACAAATATTTCTAAGATGTACAGATATATTGGGCCAGGATCGCGCATTGCGCGACCAAACATCACTAGTATTTATAGATCTACAGACAGTCAACTACGGTCAACTGATAGAGCTACCACGTATTTACATAAAACAGTCCCTAAAGTTATGGGATTGCAGATAATGTATACTTGTGGCACCGAAATAATTGTCTTATTTAAATTTTGACTTTTGTCTGTGATAAAATTTGGGCATTTATAGAGGAAATCAAAGATCTACATGTAGTACTAGGTAGGAAAAAGGTGGTGTTTTTCTTGTCAGAGTTTTTGTATCTCACTCACGTAGTTGGAATACAACTTGATTATAAGCTTCTGATGTAATCACTTAGTGTTTAGGCCATTGGCCTCCTTCATTGTACCAAAAAAAAATACTTTATATGCATCCGATTCTCATGAAAAACCAGAAATGATTCATCAAGAACAAGAAATCTTAGACGGATTTGGAGAAAGGAAAAAAAAACTGTATTAAGAAGCTTCTTGATTATCCTTTTGATAATTCACTTTCTTAATTCTGTTTGTGAGGATTCAGCACATATATATACTACATCTTGATTACATCCGGAAGTTTCTTCTTCTAACTAACTCAATGACCGACTCTCACAATTAATCTATACCATTAATCCTATCCGGTTAATGTATGATCTAATGGCCAAGACCCTGCTTAGGATTGATGACATAGAGACTGCTGAGCTGTTTGTCCCGCCAAGACTCAGTGTTTGAATTTGCAAAAAGAAGTAAGCTACACGCTATCGTTTCATTTTCCATGCATGCAAGGTTACCTTGTGTTGCTGCTGACTGAATATAATTTGTTGATGAAAGTTAAGAATTCTTCAGATTCATACTAAAAATTATGGAAAAACTTAGTAAGGTCTATCTTTTGTTCCTCTCAATCTCAACCAATAAAAAATATAAAATATAATTATGTTAAAGATAATATTGTGTAATTACAAAATAACATCTTAGTTATTTAGGCCATCAACCTTATCTCTCTCTTATTCTCTCTCATCTCTCCCCTCTCTCTTCTCTCTCGACACAAACCCCCCGAACCACCACCAACCCCCCCAGCTACTACCATTAAAGGTGGCTGGAGGAGTTTCTTTCCCCAGCCATCACCACCTTTTCTTAATGAAAAAAAAGAAAAAAAAAAAGAAGAAGACCTGCCTCAACCGCCCTTGTTCCGTTGCCCCTGCTGCCTTCCACCGCCGCCACCGCCCCTGCTGCCGCCCTCCGCTCGGAACCCAGATCGACCCACCGCTGCTGCCCTTCGGTGCCCTCCCTCGGAACCCATCCAGTCGATCTACACTAGAAGCCATCGCTGCATCCCAGATCTGACGGAGTCGATGCTGGATCGGATTTGGTTGTTTTTTTATTATTGTGTTTTAATTCAATTAAGTGGGATAGTCCACCCTCAGTATAGATCTCGGATTGATTCTTTAGTGAGCGAATTTATTGCATCAACGGAACCGAGTCCGTTGATCGAGTCCAAATTTGGTGTGTGCTGTTCGTCGTTAATGACGACAAATTTGTGCTTCATTCTGCAGATTGGTGATACATTCGAGTTCAGAATTTTATTCTGTTCCGTAATATGTCCAATAATAGAATTATGCAATTATAGGACTTTTAACCCTTTTGGCAATTATATTGGTCTAAGCACTGGTGCAGTGACTAGTACCGTAAGTACGTCATTAGGGCGGTTCGTGTATGTCATTTTGGATGGTTTGTTATTGTATCAAATGGTGCTGGACCATTTCCAGTAATTTCAGTGAAGTTTGTTTTTCCTAAAAAAAATAACATCTCAGTTGATAGCAATTCATCATATATCCGGAATGTGATGTGATGATGTGGCTCTGAAGGATTACCCAGATATGGAGAACTCCAATAAAATTTGATTCTTGAAAAATGAAGATCCAAAACTGACAATTTTTTTGAGACACATGGGAAACAAATTACTAAAGTGAAAAAATCTATAATCTATTGAAAAATCAGACAGTACGCAAAAATCTTTTTTTTTTAATGTAGAAGAAAAATGTATGTTAAAAATCTTCTAATTAGTACGATTGACAAATTGTACTCTCTTCGGTCCTTAATATAAGACATTTTGATTTGTTTTATGTTTTACCTAGTACGCATCTTTAATTGATAAAAAAAATCTTAAAAACATTTCTAACAATCAAGAGGGTACAATGAATGCGAAAAATATATTTTTAAGATTTTTTCGTTAATAAAAAATGCATATTAGGTAAAATGTAAGACAAAATAAAAATGACTTATTTAAGGACCGAAGTATCTAGTAACTTGGACAAACAGTGAAGTTGTTGCTAGTTGTAGTTGGCAAGTTGCTACTATTTTTAGTAATTACAGCCAATTCATGGACAGTAAAAAATATTCTAGCTAAACTTAGGAAAAGTTCACTCTTCTAATATGTTTGATGAAATGAAACTTCTGATATCAAGGATTTGGTGTCGTTGCAATCTAGTCTGGACTTCACGGAATTTGTCTTCAACAAAATCATCAAAGGATTCGTTCGAAGAATGGGATTCCCGAGAGCGAAAGCCTAACGAGAATAATCAAATTATATTTACTTCCACATTTGAACAACGCAAAGAAAGTCAGTCAAACAATTAACATCGTATTGTTTCAAACTTGTCAAAACATGATTAAGTCAGAGAGGATATAAACATTTTGCCCCTCAATTGTCAGATCATCATCATGTAATTAGAATCGTTGGAATATGTATGATTAAGTCAATTAAATTCAACTTCGAATTGTGGCCTCGTTTATAACCTCTCATATCAGTCTGAATTTCTCGCAATACGGTTTATTTAAATTCACAATTAACTTTTAGAACTAACACTCCGAACAAGTCAAATGTAAGTTCAAGTTTGAGTTTTTGTTGAGACGGTTGCTTCATAAATTGTACCCTGTATGAAAAATTTATTTCCAACCGTCTAGTGTATTGAATTTTATCTATATATTAATCTATATTAATTTAACTCTCTTATATGATTTGCCCGTCGTTACATGTCTGTTAGTGGAGTTTATTGTAACATAAAAGTTCTTGGTTATTGTGTTCTTGACTTCATTGGACAATTCTTATATAGTAGACCATGGTTCATCTTACAATGTGAACTCAAATGTGTAGGTTCGCGCTTGTTATTCTTATATTCTATAAAATAAAATAGAGAAATGGGATAAGATTTTAAAGAGAATCTTTTCTCTAATTCAAACTCTATTTTTCATAGTAATTAATATATATATATATATATATATATATATCCATCAAAAGATCAAATATTTAACCTTTCTCATCTTCCACCCTGCTCTCCCTCATCGGAGAATCTGTTTCACCTGAAAAAAAAACTCCATTACCGAAAAAAATCACTAGAATTCATCACCATCAAGAACCACCGTTACTGGCATCATCAAATCAATCAATTGAGAATGGAAGAAACAAAGGTTTTTTTTTTCCATTATTGTTTCAATATCTGGCTATAAGCTAGTAGCAGTTATTTTCTCATGAATCTATCTTCGATCTGCGATGAATGTTTTTCCCTGATGGTTTGAGTGATTATTTATACAATCTTTCAATTGATATTTTTGAAGTTCATACTTAATAACATTGTCATTGCCCCAATTACTCTTCTTGATGTTGTTATGCGAAATAATAAAAGAAAGCAAGAAAATGTTCTCTCTTTTTTCTTTTTTTCCATTTTTATTGAATCAAGTAGGTTCTATTTGTATTTGTGGCATTTTTTGAAAAATAGTATCGTGGTTTAGTATTTCATACACTTGTACACACATTTTTTTCTTTTCCTTTTTACTTTTTGTTTTAATTTTAATTGTATGTTCAATCTTGACCCCCAACTTCAATTGATAGTTTGAAGTTCATATATGCTAACTATAATGTTCATAATATTATTAGATTTTGTTCATAATTTTGTGTTAATGAATTCCTCTATCATGATACCAATCTTTAAATTGATATCTTAAAGTTTATATATTTAGTGAATAATGTTATCACTTTTTGTTCATGATTTTTGTCTTTCACAAGGGTGTATTTGGTGAAATTAATTTCTTGGTTCGGGAGAATAAAAAACCCCCTTATTTCTGAAATTGTAAATACATTAGAAATTTTTTCTTTTCTCTCTCTTTTTTTTAGTCTAAATGCTTTTTGATTCATGTGTTCAACCGTTGATCACAATTTTTTAGATTTTATTTTTTATGTATTGTAATTGATTATTGCCCTTAGAATATTTAGAAATGTTTTTACCTCTGATGCTTTTGTAATGGTGTTATTTAGAGTTGCTATGTACATATTTTCATAAAAATTTGACTAATAGATTTATTAATTAAGGCCTTCTTTTATATATAAAAAAAATTATCAAAGCCTATAGTTTGTTTTGATACTTGAGAAAATGGTATCTTTGTTTAAAGATGAATGTAATTATTTTTTGCTATCGATCTTTTAATTTTTTCTCAGTTTTTATTCTAAATGTCAATCGATAGTTTCATGTTCATAAGTTTTTGTGAAAATTTTCATATATATTATTTGTTAATGTTCATAATATTATTGAAATGTCATATTGATGTTGCATATTTATTTTTCCCCTTGCATTCATACATTAACAACGTTGTTTTCATACATAATAACGTTGTTTTCATACATGAATTATTAATTGAACAAGTTCCTTATGCATTTCTTTTTATTTTATTTATGTTTACAAGTTTTTTAGATGTTTATATTTATTAATTTGTAGCAATATTCATACATTGATCGTCACGTTAATATTTTACAAGATCAACCTTCATACTTGTCTCTTAAATTCTTCATATAAATGATACTAGATGTTCATTACAATTTTCAAATAAGCTGGATTAAAGAGGATTGAAGAAGTGTTGCTCCGATTACAGTGGACGACGGTGTTAATCGTGGCGGAGGTGGCGGAGGTGGTGACTGAGAAGATAGAAGCCCATGACATATTCCACTCACGTGAATAGTCCATTTCCTCCCTCCCAATATCCAACCAGTCGGTTGGGTTCTCGCCGTCCCTTTCTTCCCATGGCTTTTGCTTGAGTAACCTAAAAACAAATCATACAAATTTAATCTTCTACGTTTTCTAAACTCATAAGCTTCCCACAAATCAAATCATCAACAATAATATTTTATAACCAAAAAAAAAAAACAAATTGTGCAATGCGTCACATTCAAGTGAAAGAACGGCATCACAAAAATTTAGTTCATTTATTTAAAGACTAAATAGCCAAAGAAATATTCTTCTATGTATTATAGGAAAAATATGTGGAGACAGCTATTGTATCTTTATTTTCAGTGTAACAAATTTTCTTTTAATCTCTTTTTTCTGTGGTTAACCTTTCGTAGAAATTGTGTCTTTTCCTCTGAACTTATTTGGCTATAAATCCTAGTGTTGTAGCGACTGAGTAGAACATATAATTACTTTTTATTAAATCATTAATCATGACGAATATTCCTTGTAAAAAATAGAATCCTCAATATTTGTCTTCCTAATATATACCATGTACATATGGGAGTCTTGTCTTTCCGAAATCCAATTCATAAGAATTATATATCCCTTCTTGACTTCTAAGTGTCTTGTTACTTCGTATGCATGATTGATGTCATTATATTATATATATATATATGATTGATGTCATTATATATATATGGAAGAAACAGCTAATTGAATGGTGTCAAAAACTATAGGAAATGAGACAATTATTTTGAGGTTGAGTATGAGCTGTGAATATCTAACAGAATCATCTTTGAATATTTTTAAATCGGAGTTTGCTTATTTTAAGGAAGTGTGCCAGAATTATGTAAAGTGGGAATTCAGTTAAAAAGTGGTAATGCTTCTTAGTGTTTGTTGTTATTTCAAATTCTTCCTCATATCAATCCACAGGGTTTTCCCTCCTCTATATATAAGTGATAACCCAAAATCCTTTTCTAAAAATTTAGCAAAAAGAAAAAATTAAAGGAGAAGCATTTTCCTCCGAACTTTGAAGGCGCTCTTTTTCTTTTTTTTTCCTCTAAAACAAAAATGTGGAAAATGGGTTCAATTTGGTTAGGATTTATTGGCGTAATTAGTTTGGTAGTTTTGGTGAATGGAGCAGAAGTGAGTTATGATGGAAGATCACTGATCATTGATGGGGAGAGGAAGCTCTTGTTTTCGGGCTCAATTCATTATCCACGCAGCACACCAGATGTATGTGTTCTTTCTTCTTCCCTCTCTATTAATCTTCTTCCTCTTTGTGTTTTCAGTTTATACATGATGCGTGGAATTTTTTCTTTTTTTTCTTTTTTTTTTTTTTTTTTTAGAAATTTTGGTTATGCACGATACAATTAAGTAGGTAAGAAACATCTTGCTCATGAAGAAAGAATACAAATTTCGTTGGAGTCTTGTTCGGGGTGAGGGTCATGGTGGTCAAATCAAACAGCTAGGTTCTTTCTCGGTCAAGATTCTCTGTTTTACTTATTGTATTGACACTTTGCTTTTTTTTTTTCTTTTTTTTCTTTTGTATTGTATTCAGCGATTAATATTGGCATTTTGAAAGAGAAACTATTTCAGCATTTTATTTTACACAACTATTCAGCATTGAGATAGAGGCAGTTTCTTTCTTTCTGTTCCTTCTGGTTCTTATTATAAGAAATTTTGATTTCGTCCTAAATTATCCTAAAATATCTTCTTAATTGGAAAAAAAAATCTTAAAAATATATTTTTAAATTCGTTGTGTTCTCCTAATTACTATGAAATATTTTTAAAGTTTTTATTTCAATTAAAAAAAATCCTAAGTGAAATTTAAGAGAAATCAAAATGTCTTATAATAAGGACAGGAGGGAGAGAGTAGTTTAGTGACAGATTTAGATGATTAATTGAAAGTGATAATGACAAAGTTAGGTGAATTCGCAGGCGCTGTCATCATCTAGTCTGAATCAACACTTGGACAATTATCATCTTTGTATTTCTTTTTCTGCCCTTACATGAGGCAGAAGAGAGATACGGGAAAAAAAACAAACATAAAAAAGTATGAGAAATGTTCAAACTACATACAAATTCACATTGAATTTTAAAAATCCCCTTCATTGGCAGCTAAGATTTTTGAATTATCATATATCATGATAAATCCACTTCCTTTAAACCTATCAAAAAATTTAAATGTATCATTTAACTTTAAATTTGCACAGAAGTTTAAATGATCATTTAATCATTATCGTAGCTCTACAAAATTATTGAGTCAAGAACTTGGAGTTTCAACTTAAAACAAATGCTCTAACAGAAAAATAATATTACAATAAGGATTTTAATAAGTCGACAGATTTAAATCAAACAAACAATAAATAGCTACTATTTTGTACAAACAAACAAACAATCAAATACCCATTACATGTACTTTTGGACTGGATCTGTGGATGAAGGGGATACTAGCTGGCTAGTAGCTACTATTTTGTCATATTTATCTAATTAATAATTCTTTTTGATAGTTTTATTGAAATTTTGGAATCATTCTTGTCATGATTTGTACTCGACATAGTGAATATTAATATTCAAAGTGTAACCTAATCATGAGCTACAAATAAATGTAGTAAAATTTTTTAATCAATTTTTATTGATCTACTAGTAGAATGTTAGATTAGATAATAAAGTATACAAGAAAAATTTTGCCTCACTTAATATGTTCCATTTCTGATCTCGCCACTGATCATGACAGATGTGGCCCTCTCTAATAGCAAAGGCCAAACATGGTGGAGTAGATGCAATTGAAACCTATGTATTTTGGAACCTTCACGAACCTCAACCCGGCCAGGTATAATTATAATTGATTCCATTCCCATTCAAATTCCTTTGAAGCCTTTGAAAATTTTCACGTCTGTAATTTTTTTTTTCTACCCGTAAATGTATGCTCATAAAATTTTCTGGAGCTTACAGTATGATTTCAGTGGGAGACGTGACATAATAAAATTTATTAAGGAAATTCAAGCTCAAGGCCTTTATGCCGTCATCAGGATTGGTCCATTCATCGAGAGTGAATGGAATTACGGGTAAATATATATATATTGTTTGGTACTTCCGTTCCATATGGTGTCAGAAATTTCCATCACTAGTTTTGCTATAATGTGTGATGTTAATAACCGAGGATAATAAACTCATTAAGTAGGTATCGAGGGAAAAATATGATGAACAGACAGTGCAGGCTATATCTGCTCTATTTTTATTTCGATTTAGCCATATAATCAATTTTCTGTTGCAGAGGTTTTCCATTTTGGTTACATGATGTCCCCGGAATCACATTTCGATGTGACAACGAACCCTTCAAGGTGAACTTCAGATATTAAGAAATTTTCATTCTGATAACTTGTATATTCTTTCGGTCTCAAAATGATTATTCTGTTTAAATCCAACTATCTTTGTTAACAGTTCTACATGCAAAATTTTACTACAAAAATTGTCAACATGTTCAAATCAGAAGGACTATATGCTCCACAAGGAGGGCCTATCATACTTTCACAGGTTCAATGTTTAACGACATTCTAAGCTATTTACCCTTGCAAATAATGAATGTTTTGAAGTTTCTGTAGCATTATATAATCTAGGCTATCGGAACAATGCAGATTGAGAACGAATACCAGAATGTAGAAGCTGCATTTCATGAGAAAGGTCCACCCTATGTTCGTTGGGCGGCTGCCATGGCCGTGGGACTTGAAACCGGAGTTCCATGGGTGATGTGCAAGCAAAATGATGCTCCTGATCCTGTGGTAACCATTTTCACTTTAGATTCTTGAGAAGAATTCATAGGACAATATCAAAAAGATGAGATGACTTGTTAAAAAAAATTTTGGAATAAATTGCACCATAACTTAATGATATGTATGGATTTGAACTTGTGCAACTCCATGTAATTTGATTGAGGAATCACACATTGTGCAGATAAATACTTGCAATGGAATGAGATGTGGAGAGACTTTTGCAGGGCCAAATTCGCCAAATAAACCGGCACTTTGGACAGAAAACTGGACAAGTTTGTAAGCCTCATCACTTAAACAAAAGTTTCCATTGCAATTATACATTCTGAATTAGTTGGCCTGATCAGAAGTCTCTCAGAATGTGATCATTTACTGTATCATGCAGTTATCAAACCTATGGTGAACAGGCCCCCTTGAGATCAGCAGAGGATATTGCGTTTCACGTGGCTTTGTTCATTGCAAAGAAGAATGGGAGCTTCATAAACTATTATATGGTGAGTATAGGAAAAGAGACTCCCTAATTTCAGTGAGAACTTACATCCTGTGTGTTTGATGATTCTGAATTTGCTGTATTTAAGTATCATGGAGGTACAAATTTTGGCAGAACAGCATCATCATTCATTATCACAAGTTATTATGATCAAGCCCCTCTTGACGAATATGGTAAGCACGGAATACCAAAGGCTTTCGAATACTCATATATTGCAGATAGCAAGGATAACTCATCCAAATCAACAGGTTTAATCAGGGAACCAAAATATAGTCATCTCAGGGAGTTGCACAAAGTGATCAAGTCATGCTCAAAGACCATACTCTCAGGAGCACTGACTAACTCATCTCTAGGTGATCAACAAGAAGTATGGCTCCGGAAATTCATTCCATTCAGTAAAGCTAGAGTTCCAAAGAGATTTAATGAGCTATGTATGAGACACTACCAATTCGAGAACATAGCAATATACTCATCACTTTATTTCCATGCAGGCCTATGAGTTCCAAGATGCAGAAGGGAAATGCGCAGCTTTTCTTATCAACCATGACCAAACAGCGACAGAGGTGCAATTTCAGAACTCTAAATATGAGCTTCCTCCAGCATCAATCAGCATCTTACCAGACTGTAGCACAATAGCCTTCAACACAGCTAAGGCAAGCTCTAATTCTTTCATGCCTTGAATGTTAAAACAGCATATACCAGAAACATTGTTTGATTTGAAAATGAATCTCTGCAACATTTGTTGATTCCTAGTTGCATACCAGAAAATGATGATCTTTGTTTGCATATTGTTTATAGCACAATGAATCTTAAAGAAATCTTTTTGGAACAGGTAAGCACACCATTCAGCAATAGATCAACCCTACCAATTATCATGTTTGACTCAGCCGATGGATGGAGCGAATTTCAAGAAGACATTCCTGAATTTGAGGAGACATCATTAAGGTCCAATTCATTACTGGAGCAAACGAATGTCACAAAAGATACTTCCGATTATCTTTGGTACATTGCTAGGTAAGAAACTTTAGTATGCAGAAGCTTCCAGGTTTGATCTTTCCTTGTTTAACAATGAGTTCCAGTTTTGAATATTGAAACAAGTTTCTCACAAAATACATGTCATGAATCTAACTTATACCCATAACACCAACATTTCTCATGGGGCTGAGAAAAACTTTGATGCAACTGCAAGTTATGCTTTTTGTTAAAATTTAAGTGTTGCACAGGACGGGTTGGTTGGGTGGGATTGCGAGGGCGGGGGATATGTAAACAGGGAGTCAATTGTTCAGACCTGATCGGGAGAAATCCGAAAAGAAACATTTAACTGATGTATTTTGTGCTTGAAAATCTCCTAACATCTATTTTATCTGCTTTGGCAGGGTTAATTCATCAGAAACTCAAGCATTAGTTACAGTACATTCAAGGGGACACGCTATACGTGCATTCGTTAATGGAGTATCTGCAGGTAAGAAGTTCAACTACATGTGTTGTCTTCAAACAGCACTAGCTGCAGAATAACAAACAGTAATGTGCGGCAACAGCAATTACTTGGGAAACAATTGACTTCAACAAACTTGTTTGCCATTTACAAGCATTATATTTAAATACAACACATAACTGATCGATTAACTGAAAATCAGTTCCAGCAAAGCTAGCACAGTTTCTGTACTTTATCTCAGGAATAATTAATTAGAGTGCATATAATCTCAGGAATAATGAATTAGAGTGCACTAATATGCAACAAAACCTCAGACTGCCTCTCTTCTAAGTGCTAATACACCTCAAAAAACCATAGTGAGGGAATCTCAAACGCTGTAAAATGGTTGCAGACTAATCCTTGCACAAATGGAAGAGCCAAAGTTGTAAACTTGAGTATTTTCAACCAGTACTTCAGTGTTCAGATGTGATTTCACAGCTGTGCCTATTCCCCGAAAATATTACCTTCTGGTTTATGGCCTAAACTTAAGCCAGCATTGTACGATGTTCATTCTTTACTATCCCAAAGTAAAAGCACTAGACAGTTTCACTTGTTATGGGCCTATGGATTCTTTATAGACTACTTGTTTCTTAGCTGGTAAGAGTAAAACTGATTGGACTCTTAACCGCACATGTTCTTTAGGTTTTGCAAATGGAACTCACAGTAACACATCTTGTAGCTGGGAAGACACTGTCAATCTGTCTGAAGGAAAGAATAGCATCTCCCTACTAAGTTTAACAGTTGGACTGGAGGTAAAATTTGTCTAGCTTCTTTAGCTATACCTTATGCTCAGAATAACACATTTTATCTAATCCTGGAATTTGTGCACTGTAGGATTTCGGGGCATATCTTGAGCGCCGCTCGTCCGGATTGAGCAGAGTTCGATTGCACTATAACAATCAGACAAAGGATCTAAGCAATTCTGAATGGGGATATCAGGTTGTTAACCCAAAAAACTTTAAAGAGAAAGGGAAAAAAGTCATCAATTTAACCTCACATTGTTTGGAATTAGCTGCTAAAATAAGTGTAGCATGGTCTATGAAGGTTGGATTGCAAGGGGAGATTCTACAGCTTTACACAGGGGAAGGATCAAATGCTGATCTGTGGAGCCAGTTGAGTACCCCTCCTGAACCACTGACTTGGTATAAGGTAATATTGTTGAAAAGAAACATCAGGTCAGAATTTTAGAAACTGCCTTTTGCCTATCTGCTCAGATTTCACATTCACCTTATTGAAATCCAACCAACAGGCACAGTTTGATGCTCCTGAGGATGATGGTCCTTTTGCGATAAATTTGGAAACCATGGGGAAAGGTGAAGTTTGGATCAATGGTCAAAGTATCGGCAGATATTGGGTCTCCTTGCTCACAGATTCTGGCTCTCCTTCGCAGACATGGTATGTTCTTAGTTATATATTTCAAAAGTATGTGATTATTCCCACCGTTCCAAAATGGTGGTCCTGTTTGTGATACTTCATACTAGGGAAATCATTTTGGGATGGAGTGAGTACTAGAAAGCAACAATTGCAGAATCAATTCACTGTTCTGATTTCCAATGCCATCAATGTGAAAGAGTTGCATGAATTTCCCAATAAAATTTTGATTGAAAACATCAGATTAGTAAAGTATGCTTGTGTATTAACTTTTTCATAATTTGTTTTGGAAATGGTTGACAAATCTCATTAGGATACGGGAAAGCTTTTTGGACACGCTTAACTTGCCAAGGGAATGGCGTGATACAAACTGCAAAAAACATTAATCACAATGCCATTTCAGTTTTATACCATTACACTAAATACATGTACGCATCTTATCACATATCATATAGTTGGATCAGTATGTTTATCGCATATATACACTGGCAAAATGTCTTTGGAAGTTCACAACTTATGGTCAAGCTTCTGCGAATCTCTTACTTCTATTTGCTGCCCAGCTGATATTATCTTTTGTAGGTACCATATACCAAGATCCTTTCTCAAACCAACAAGCAACCAGCTGGTTTTGTTCGAGGAAGAAGCGCGAGGCCCTCTTGGCATTTCTATCGACATCATCTCAAATAATAAAGTGTGCGCAAGGGTATCAGATAAGCAAGCAGAGAATTTGTTTCTGGAGGAGGAACCAATATTGAGATCAAGAGAACACGCGAAACACCACAACGGACAACCAAAAAGAGTTCATCTACACTGTCCATCTAGAAAAACAATTTCTAGAGTCCTGTTTTCAAGCTTTGGAAGTCCTGTGAGTGAATGCGGAAGCCAAGCTATTAGGCGATGCCAGTTTTCAAATTCAACAAAAATCGCTAAAAAGGTAGCTAGTTTTTTTCTACTCTCCATCGGAGATTATCAATGCAATCCAGTCTAACCTAAGTTTCTTCTCTTTGTCCAAGGCTTGCATTGGGAAGAGGAACTGCTCTATCCCTCATTCGTTCCAACATTCTGGTGGCGATCCGTGTCCAGGCATTCCCAAAGAGATATTAGTCAATGCAGAATGCTCATGAGGCGAAATCTTTAGTCGAAAATGTACATGTTAAGCTTACAAGAAAAACAGCTAGCTAAACACATGCACATAGCTTACAGTGTTCAAATAAATAGACTAGGCGATTTGTTATCAGAAATCTGTTTACACAAAAAAAAGAAAAAAAAAAGAAAAAAGAGATAAAGCATATCAGTTTACATGATGATGATCAGTGGCGGAACTAGATTTTTTATTCTGGGGGGCTTAATTTCATTTTATAAAGGGGTCAAAATACAGTGTATATAAAATGCTAGGGGTTGATCTTTATTAAAAAGGGTGTCTTTGGAAATCCAAGAGAGTAGATATCCTAAATGGTAATATCAATAATTTTTAAAGTCCCACGTCATCTTCTTCCTCCTCAGAGCCCGCCGCTGCAAAAATTTAGTCGCCGGAAAATCTCTTGTCTCCGCCTCCCTCCCTCACCCACACTCCTTCAATCACAAACCTTTGAAGCCCGTCCTTCAATCACAAGGCTTAGAATCCCCTTCAGAGTCTTTTTTTTCTTCTGAATTTTGGACTGAAAGGAGGCAGCGGAACCAGAAAGAATTCCAACCACATGAGCTCCTATGGATAACGATTGGCGGCTCGGGGGGTCAGCTGACCACCCGGGCACTTAACTGGTTCCGCCGCTGATGATGAACAGAAAGTAAAAAAGGATAAGCCTAATCTATTGAGTTTTCTTAGGCTATGTTTGCTTTCTTTTTTTGAATGATTTTTTCATAATTTTTTATTAATATTTAATCCCATTCAACATACTTTTTTACATTTCTAATGTACCTTCTTATATTTCCTATACATATTTTTATATTTCCAATACAAAAAAATACGCTCAAAAAACCTTCCAAACATAGCCTTATTGTTGACCACTGTGAAAATCAAGATTTTGGTTGATCCAGCTAGTTTCAAAATTGTAACAATGTAAACATATGCGATCTTTTTTGCTTCAACATTATCCTTATTTCTACTTAAAATAAAAGCCTATGTCCAAGTTAGAAACTCGAATCTGATTGGTCAGGAGCCTTTTGAGTTCAATTTGAACGATGTGATTGACTCATAAAAAATTGAGTGATCCCATTAGTCAATAGATGTTTCAATTAAATTAGGACCGTTGATAGGGTTTAATCCAATGGCTTAAATCAATTTTACATTTTAAAAGGAGGAATTGATGTCATCTGGCTCCCCCGAGGCGTTCAAAACGACGTCGTTTTTTTCCTTATATACCCTCTCCATTCTCGCATTCCCAACTCGACACTATTAAAACACTATTTAAAGTCTCCGCCTTCTTCCTTCTCTCCCTTCTTCTCTTTCTAAACCCTACTTAGGGATCTGTTCACGTCTGTAATCTCCGTTGAGCTATAGCGAAATAAAACAATCCGAATCTTCCAATTTTAATGGTCGGTGATGGCTTTTTTTTTTCCTTTTTTTTAATTTTTAATTTTTTTTTTTTTTATTTTGATGCTTTCTCCCTCTGATGTGAAAACCCCTCTCTCCGTAGCCGACGAAATAAACCAAATCTCTAAACAAAAATCTGGATTTCTTCAACGAAATCCTCATGGGAGCATGATTTTTTGCCTTCAAAAAATCAATAAATCGGATGCCCGACAAAATCTGGAGGAATTGTTGCCGCCTCCACGCATCAGTTTCTTTTTGAGGATTTTTTGGGTTTGGTGGTTTACTCTTTGAGATCAATAGAGCAATTGGATGTTGGATGTGGTGAGTTCTTGTCGGCATAATGGCCATTTGAAGAAAATTGGAATATTTGTCACGTAGGACTCGGCATTCAGGTTATATTATCAGGCATTTCGTCGAATTTGGTGTGCAATTATGAAATTTATGAATCTCGTGTCCCTTTCACTTATCTAAATTTGGTTGTGTTTGTTCTTATTTTCAGGCTCTTTTTTGGGGTGATTTTTTTCTGGCGGTTGTTAGTTTCATTAAACCGGCTGATGAATCAAGAGCTCCAAGTAGTCAATGGTAAGTTATCAAATATTCGTTTTAATTGAGAGCATGCTTTTTTAAATTTTGATTTGAATATGGTTTACTTTACTTTTCTTTCCAATCCAATATTGGTGAAGAGTATGGAAATTGATGTAGTTCTGATTTGAATATGTTCACTGATTTGTTTCAGCTTATATTATTGCATGAGGGTCAATTCATTTTTTATTTTTTTTTTGCTATATGTTCTAAGTACGTACAGAACTAATTGCAAGGGTGTTACTTGTTAGAAAACTTGAAATACAAATTACCTTTAAAGGGTTTTAGTGGACATTGATCCAATAAAGTTTCTGTGGTATTTATTATACTCCCGAGAGAATTCTTTCTTCATTTGACAGTAGCTTTTGTCCCACTCACGGAACCCATAATGTTTGATATTTCATATTTATGTTTTTGATATTGTGTTTTAGGGATTTTGGTCTTTTTTAAACGCGTTAGACTCCTTTGTTTAAAATTTGAAGCAGGCCTTTGATAACTTGAATGATTTTTCCAAACAGTATGATTCAATAGTTATTTACATTCTACCTCTGCAATTAAAGTTGTTGTAGTGAAGCAAATTGTTTTGGTTGGCTTGGTGGGAGGAACAAATCCTTACCATCATTGAATAGTAATGGGAATGTAAATTTTCTGGTTTGTATTATGTCTTTTCTGCCTCTATTGTTTTGTATTATTTCTTTGCACACGTGCTTTTTCCAGGTATAGTCTTTTAGTTATTTGGTTCATGATGTCATCGTTATTTGTTCGAGTTTGTGGTTGAGCTTGTGCCTGTTGTTATTGCATTTTCCTCTTTTGAAGACTTTATTTATACCTTAGTTTTTAGTTAATTTTGATCACTCTCCCCATCGAACTCCTATATCACATTATTTTAAATGAAACTCTAGTAGACTTGATAATTGAGCTTGTCGCGTGTAGCGCGACTCTAGCAAAACTAGTATACTATTTGAATAAAAGTTGAGTCCCTAAAACATTAGGGGAAAATATTCAGCCCAGGTGAGATCTTGACCGTCCAAAGATCTCTATCCGACGGTCTAAATTAATTTGATGGACGTCATGACATCAGCAACTTATTAAGGACAAAATTGTAAATCCATAAATAGATTTTATTTTTCTAACTTATTTTTTAAAGCCCCGGATTCAAAACGACATCGTTTCGGTGTACCTTTTTAAAATCTCCGACCCTAAAACGACGTCGTTTTTTAACCCTTTTAAAAAAAAAGAAAATTCATCAGCCACAAATTGGCCCCCGAACACAAATTGACTCCCACACAAATTGGCCCTACGACCTTTTTTTATTTAGCCCATACAAATTTGCATAACCCACTTAGGCCCACAATAGTAGAAAAATAAAAAGACGGGGATTAAAATTAGAGTACAAAACATCGTCAAATAGTTTCTTAAATCGCGTTCCGGGTGCTGAATTTGGTAGTTCCGGCCGTTCGTGTCGCCGCCGTTCGTCTTCGGAGTGAGACTTTTGAGCGGTCGCGGTTTGAATTGGGTCGTGGAAGGTTGTCATCATCCATCTCCGGTATCACATAGAGTAAACTAACTCCAAATCTTCTTCTGTTTGGGGTTTTTTTTTTTTTTTTTTCACTGAGTTGTTTTTCAGTTGGGAAAATTCCCCAAATTATATACCGGGAAACCCCAATTTTTTTAGTGTTGGAAGCTCCAAATTTAGCAATTATATCACCTCTTTTGCTAGCGAATTCGCCCCAATGATCGATGTCGAACAAGAGGACCCCGGTGATGTTGTCCTGGCACCTAATAACATTAGCAATTTTAGAAGCAATGCTTAGTCACGCGCCTCCAGTACTACTGATTTGGCTCGAAAAAAGGCTAATCCTCCTCAGCCAGAAAAGAAGCTTGTCGTAAACCTCCTTAAAGGTTTGTGTTCGATTGAAATTTTTGAATAAGTTTTAATAAGACTTGTTATAGTGTCGGGTTTCATAGTTTGACTCGGTAAATTCGTATTCTTTTAGGGGTTTTAACCATGGGATACTTTAATAGGGTTTTTGGGGGATCAATCATACTAGGGCTGAGGGATCTTTTGTATCAACTCCATCACCTCTTTTCCGGCACTGAAGAACCGGGTTGATTTAGAGTTTTCGTTTATTCGATTTCTGTCAATAGTACAAATTTATTCGTGTTTTTGCAGATAAGGAATCCAGTGCTGATGTAAGAAGGCTTGAATTTTGGTCGGTTCCATGAGAAGAGACATTAACTTCAGAGGTAACCTCCAATGATCCTCCGTCCTTACCAAGCGGCCTATTTTTGTTAAATTCATAAAATGGTTAAGCGGTCTTCTTTGTTAAAGTTGTTAGAAGGAAGTAAGAATTGAAAGGAAGGTCTCTGGATTTAGCCAGTGAAATCTGGTTATGGTGTTGTTTTATGGATATATTATTTGAGTATGATGCACCAGAAATTGACTTTTGTTAGACACTTTAGATGTTCTGCTGAAACTAATTTGCTAAATTGGCCATCATGAAACGACAATGGCAGGACTTTGGATTTTCAGAGATGAAGTCACTTTCGACGCTTTTGGGAAAGAACAAGGTGTCAGGGCTGTCTATGAAAGGGAAAGAGTAGCTACTGGTCACTTTCGACTATACTTGATATAATACTTTAGCTGAAATTGGGTCTCGAATTTTTCTTTTGCACCGCTACATTTGGATGCGCTATCTTGATGAATTATTCTGCGACTGTGGTTCCTATTTAGTTTAGGAGTAGGTAATTTCAACTATATTTAAGTTGTTTTTGCAGTAATGTCTCCAGCTATAAAATAAAGAAAACTCACCTGTTGTGTCTAGAAGCAGTAATTTCAACTGTATTTATGATTTGAAGCTTACAGCTTGGCCCTGCGCCTCTACCGCCGCTACGATGCCGTTGCTGATGTTACAACGGCCGCCCGTCCAGAGGCGCCTAATGTTCGAAGACGAGTGAGTCACGCCTCGCAACTGTTTGTTTTTTTGTCTCCAATGTGTGAATTTCTTTTCTTGTTTTGTATTTGTTATGGAAGTCCTGAACACATAAGTTTGGACAATAAAGGCTACAGGAATCAAAGTGTGCTATATGCTAATTCTGAAAAACATTGGTGTTTGCTGCTCTTTGTTTGTTTCTGTATTTCCAAATCATTCATACTGTTCTTTTTTGTTTTTTCTTTTTGGACAGAGGGAAAATTTTAGGTGCAATGCAACTTCTATGGGAGTCCAATCTCAGCTGGGTACTCTCGCTCAAATTATTAAAGCTATTGATCCAAAGCTACACCAGCATCTTGGTATTGGAAACTGATTCTTTCTTAACACTTCTTCTAGGTCTTGTTGTGAACTTGAGTGTCTGAATAAGTACTTTGCATGATAGGTTAGGTCTTAGTTTTATATGCTGTGAAGATAATTGAAAGGTTTCTGAAGCAACACATTTCATATAGCTTGCTGAGATTTCTAAGATACAGACTGCAGAGGTTATGTTTTATATGTACGTGGTTCTTTTCTCGTTTCTTTTTTCATCACGACTTTAAGAGTGAAAATTATCATGACAGTTTATAGGAAGTTGAGAAGTGCATATTACATACGAAAAAGAATGATTTTCCCTCAAAAAGTTCTTACTTTTCTATTCTTTTCAGTTTTGTCTGTCACTCTCCTACAGTTACTCTGTGTTGCCTGTCAGTATTCCAATTATGTGGATAATTTGTGCTCTTTTTTAGGTTTCTGGATTTCGTGTGTTTTACTCTTTGCCCCTAAACTAATCACTTCTCTTCCTATTTGATCTTTTGGCAGAGGATCTGGATGGTGAGGAGTATTTATTTGCATTTTGAATGCTGATGGTACTGCTTAGGAGAGAGTTCTCATTTGTTGATTCACTTTGTCTATGGGAGGTAAGGAGCTAACTGCACATTTGCTATTCTGAAAAATCCACTGGTCAAAATAGAGTTCCTGTGCTAGACTAGGTTGCATTGCATTTTAGCCACTGGATCCCAATATATCGTTTTGTGAACGACTCATGATATTGGCACTTGTTGACGTATTTCATAAGTAAAATGTCTAGGAAATTTTTCATTTGGAATTGTTTCTTGCTGCTATGAATATAGGTGATGTCGATCATGGAATTAAACCCCAATATATATGTGCAATACGAGGAATCTCAAGACTTGGTTTCCAATGACAGTAACCATGATGGTCAAAAGATCAGCAGTAAGCTGTTAAAGTAGTATGGCAAATTTGAGCGGAAAAATGTGGAAACTGGATGGACAAAGCAGAAAAGTGCTCTCGCAGTCTTTCTGGTAGCTAGCATACTTGGAGAACAAGAATAAGCGACTTCTAAAAGAGGCCTAGGGTCTAGACGATGTTGTTCAGGTACAGAACGAAGTATATCTCTTCTGGCTTGTATGGATTTTGTTTTCATCTTCATTTTGGGTTGTGCTATAAAGATATCAAAGTTGCATTAAAATATGTTAGTTCAAAATAAATAGTTACTTGATGCTTGGTTTAACAGGAAAATGGAAATTAAGTAGCTATTAAAGGTTCTAACTTCTTTCCAAAAAAAAAAAAAAAAAAAAGGTTCTAACTTTTCTACTTTAGGTGGAGCACAAACTACCAGAGTTGGAAATAGCTACATGATTACACCAATTTTTTTTATTGCTTTTTAGTATCTTCTAAATGGCTTTTTTTTATTTTTCTTTTTTTTTTTCCTCGTGTTCCTAGCATTATGATGTATTTGTATTGATGTATTAGTTAAATGCCTAGAAAACCCTGCAATAGAGATTTGGGATGCTTATCTTTAGGGGGTGGGCATAAGGTGCTACTACATACTCAGCCTGAAACATGTCTGAACACCAGAACTGAGGTTCTAGGCCACGATAACTTCTTTGATATAATTGGATCAAGGTTTAGATCAAACTGTTATTGATCTCAATATCAATAGGAAATTCTTGTGTTCTTATTTCTGGTTGTTTTTTGGGGAGTTCACGTGTCCTAATCTTTAAAGACAAAAACTGTTCCTTTTTAGTATTGATTTTTTGGCTTTGTGTATTGAACTATTGATCTGTTTGAGTTATGATACATAAATTGTTTCAGATTTTTTATTGGCCATCATGTGACCTGCGATCACCCTCGCTGAAAGTGTATAAAAGAATGATGTTCTCCACCCACCGCATTCACCAAGGCTGAAGAGAAGAATTCCCGAGTTCTACAAATGCTCAGATTTGCAAGCGGCAACCTGGTCTTAGATTGACGCACAATAATCGATGGCAAAGGAGGATGGTGCTCAAGAAGAATGATGCCTGAAAGCATATCCATTTGTTTCTGTAGTTCTGAATAACAGTCCTGATTTCAGAACCTGATAGTTGAATCATTGAAGCAACAAAGGGAGTGTACTGACATGGGTGCTTTTGTTTCACAGTCTTTACGAAAAGGTTTGGCCCTAAAATTATTTAGAGCTGTTGAATCTCTTGACTATTGTTTCTGAATTTGCATATTTATGTTCATCGTAATTTGCATATTTGAGTGAATAGATTCTATAATGAAGAATATTTTTGCTTTGTTATTCTTCGCTTGCCTCTAGAGCATAGTTTAAATTATTTAAATTTTGAGACACTGAAGATTGGGAACCTGCTTTGTCCAAAGTAAGGAAAACTTTGCCTCTGTATTGTTAGTGTTCCAAAAATTCTAAAATAAATCACTTAAGCCTTATATATGACTGCATTGAAGCAGAATTTGGTAGATCCTAACATTCTTCTTTGGGTGCATTCATGCTAGAGGCGCGAATAATCTATTCTGATGACCTCACAAAGTAAAATCCAGTATATTTTTTATTTCAAAATCATTAGTTGTCCAAGATATGACAAACAGGATATCTAGAATATTTTAGTGACTTAAGAGAATGAGAAACATGAGCACCGCCGAAGAGAATGAGAAACATGATCTTTGTCTTTGGCTTGCACCGAAATTAGAAAACACTAGATGGATCGAATGCGCTTTGCGCGTCCTGCAATAAAAAACAATATGAGTATAATAATATATATAAACTCTAAATATGTAATTATGACATGCTTAAATTTGAAGAGAGAAACAACAAAAAAATGTTTCATTATCTTATTTTCATAATCTATTTTTTTACAATAATATAGATGATCAAAATGGAACTGTCTATAATTTTTCTCACATAAATTTAATTTGATATTTACAACAATAAATTCAATAACCTGAATACGTGAAAGAGAGTCATGGTTTCAAAATGTTTGGTGAAAAAGTAAATAAAAAACTATTGCTTACGAATTGCAAAGTATTTAACGCATTACATTTTACCTGAAATCAAGAAGACGCCTAAGATTCAAGAACAATTTAAATTTTTTTTTGTTACAACGTTCATTCACTGCTTTTGGATCTTGCAACATAACTTTATGTTATCTGATTAGCTAAACATCAGAATCCCTACTTCTGTTCGAATTCAACTTGAACTTTCAATCAAATTGTTAAAACATACTTAAAGAACTTGCGGAAGAAGAGAAAAAATAAAGAAAATCAGGATAAGAGATAAATGAAGAAGAGAGAAAATCAACATAAAAGATGAATTAGAACTGTGGTGCTTGTGAGGCCTGTTTCCGGATCGCTTCTGCTACGGTATGAATGGTGTGATTAGTACCCAGGTTCCGACTAATCAGTAGCTATTAGTTACATATAATTTCAGTTATGAACAAAATATTTAAAAGATACGCAAGATAATCTTTATTCTGTGTATAATAAATTAAAGGAATAGTTAGAGTTTTGATTAAATATGAACCATTACTAAAGGTTGGTTGATTAATAAAATATGGTAGGTTTAAGGTGTAGGATGGAAGGTGCAAGTCGGCACTTCTACTACCCTATTCGGTTGACAACACAACACATATAATCTCTATTCTTTTGACAACTCACCCACACATTCCTTAAACAACACTTGAAGATTGCCTCCTCTCTCCTTTCTCACTCTCACGCATCCACACACACTCACACACTCAATTCCATTTTCTTCTTTAAAATCCAAATCCATTCAACCGAATGCAAATTTGTCCGAACAGCCACTTCGAACTACCACAGTATGACCTGCGTTCTTCCTCCTTTAAGCCACACGAGACCATCAACCCTCCTTTCTTCCTCTAAGCTGCACCCATCCCTCAAAATTCCCCCACCATCGCTGGACATCAATGTTTCTTCTCCTTCATCGTCTGAAACCACCATTCGGCCAAGACCACGATCACATATCCCTGCACAATACTCTTTTTGCCATGTTCTATCAACTGTTAATCTGTTAAGAAGGATAAAGAAGAGGAAGAAATTGAGTGTAGGAGAGGGTTGCAGGAAGGCTCAAAGAAAGGAGTGAAAAGAAGGAACTAAAATTTTGTGTGGAATCGGTTCGTGCTTGGAAGAGTCGACAACTCGGGCATTAGGAGAGATTATTAGTAGCCAGAGCAGGTAACAATCTTGAGAATACCTTAGCTAAAGTTATTGATTTAAGTTTATAAAATGATTGGTGCGAAGTAGGCAAATAGCACTTGTTTAATTAGCTCTTAGATTCATGAGTTGCATGCCTATAGGTAGGGATGTTAATAATGTTAATTTTAGTCCAAAGATGGTCTATTGATTTACTGGGAGCTGGGAATTAAGGTTGGTTTAGGATTATGGGATGCCGGGAGAAAATTACATGCTGAAAGGACTTTATTGGTCCTTTCCAGAAAATGCAGAAAACATCAAATCCGAGTCCCTCTGTTTTAGTTTTCTTTTTCTCCTAGCTCTGGAACTCTTTTCTCAGATTTCTTTTCATAAATCCCTTCTCCATTCAGTGTAGTTTGTTCAGGTTTTTACGGATTGTGAAATAGATTTGTCGATTGTCCGAAAACTTGGTTTGAACATGACCGCTGTTTCCTAAAATTCTGTTTTGTACTGCTATTTTCGGAGAATCGTTTCTCCCTTATCTTGAACTGTTTTATGAAATTTATTTTTATGAATGTCTTCTATGCTGGTGGAATTTTACTATAGAGTTTACGGATTGTAAATTGGAGCTGCGAATTGCCCAAAAATTGGGTTTGTACATGATCGACTAATTCTAGAATTTTTGAAGAATCTCATTTAAAGAGGCAATTTGCAGATCAGTTTTTTTTTCTGGTTCTTAAACTATTTTATGAGGTTTTTTCCACAAAAATCTTCTATGTTGAACAAAGTTTATTTCAGTTCTTACAGACCTTGAAATGGATCCTTGGTTGATTCTGAAAACGTAGTTGAAGAGGACCTATCAATCCTGATTTTATGAAATTTCAA